TAAAATGTAGAAAAATACGATGGCTTTAAGACATCAAAAGAAGAGAGACCGGAAAAATAATCCTTCATGTTCCTAATAACTGGATTTTAGCCACTTCTGGCAGCTCTGATTCTAACCATAAACAAAATGTTAATGCATCCCTTTGTTGTCACTCTTTTCCATCCCCCGCTTAAACTTGGTAACCCAATAAAACTCACCTACTCAGCCCCACAATTCAGATTCTCAAAGAAAGGGTATCTACCACCTCACCTTACCATTCAAGAACTTCCACTATAATTTCTGATACCTTTAATTGTCTAAAACTTTTATTAAAATCTGCAGCCACAAATAATGTGACTGGCAGATTCTGATCTCCTGCATTAATCTAACATTTATCACTTCAATTCATTTGAAAAACAAGGAGTCTTTTGAGTTCCCTAATATTTACCTTAAAGTATCATGAACATTGTGTCGCAAGAGAAAACACAAAACAGTTTTGTTTTGTTTTGTTTTTTTCCCAGGCTGTTAGAAAAATCATCCCAGAGGAGGGATGAGCTTATTTTCCTGAAATCTCCATTTATGGGGGTGGGAAGGGCGGGGGGAGAGAGGGGTGTGGGCAGGGGTGTTAAAGAGCAAAGGAAGAGTTAATGCTTCCCTAGAGAGTGAATTCCCTTTGCCTTTTACCAATTCCTCCTCTCAACTCATGCTTTCACATGTTGCTTATACTAAAAGCATTCACAAGGGTCAGATTCTGAAAAGTTTAACTTAATTTCTTAAATATTGCTTTTAACCTGCCACCCCCAGCTCCCAGTGACTACTACAGTAGTTCTCAAATCTATCATTTTTGGCTAGAACATATAATGCATCAACTATTTAGTTTGCCCAATTAATAAGATGTCTTCTGATCTTCTAAAGAATGTTTTCACCCACGCAATTCTTTTTTAGAAAAAGAAAAGGTTTCAAATTCCCTGTACCAGAAAAACCCTCATTAAAAATGAATTTCCAACATGAGATGTCAGAACAAGGACAAATGTTCGACTACGACATTTGCTATAATTCTGTTGATCACAGGCCTTTCTCGTATAGCAATGAAGCATCCCTTGAAGAAAAAAAAAAGTAGGAAATAGCAGATGTTAGATGGAAACTAATATCAGGGTTTTTTTTTTGTTTTGTTGTTTGTTTGTTTTTACATGACTCAGTTGAATAACACCTTGGAGAGTGTACCGAAAATTTATCTGTTTTTAGTACTGGTTAACCAACTCATTCTAAAATTCTGAACCCAGTTATTTCTCCTAAAGAGGTCATCTACTTCTGTCAGAAGCATGTATTTTGGGAGCAGTGCTCTATTCAACCACAATAAAACAGGGGTGGAGTGGGATTATAGGGAGAGGCAAGTGTGTTTACCAAAGTACACCATAACTTCAGGTATATTTAATGCACTAAATTTTTAAATACCTCTAAATTATATTTCTCCTTATATTCTTCTATGCACAAATATAGGAAGAGTTTTCTCCTACCACTCACCTCACAGTAAGATCCAGGGTATCTATAACCTGAGGAAGTACTTGGAATACCATCTCACAAGTTAGAACAATCATTTCTGCTCTTAAATTACAATGTTGGTCGCCATCCCAATTTGTTTCATAATAAATAAAATTCAGACAGCAGGCATTTAAAAAAATATCACATTGGTTTTATTCAATACATGCAAAGGTCAAAAATTCCATTTCAACGGAGAAAGGCTTTAATATGTATCTTCTCTGACTATACAGGTCTTTGGGGAAAAACAAAACTTAACCAACCTGATGGGAAGTTGGAAGTGTTGTTTCTCTAGAAAATCAAGCACGACACCCAGAAAACTGTCACTCTCACTCAAAAGTCTTTGTAATCCATCTCAATATGGAGTGGGGTGAGGTTAAAAACTGCTGATTTATATGACAGAAATGTATATAACAGCCTGATCATCGTAGTAAGCACCTGCTCAAATTTGACTCTGTAGTAGGAGTTAATCACATCTGAAAAGTTGAAATTAAAACAGGTATTAGGGATTCACCTGCAAGTAAAGTTAATTATAGGACATGATATAGACTGTTGAGTTAGAGAATCATGGAATGAGAGACTACTTTGAGAAAAAAGCAAAATAAAATTTTTCATTTATGCCTTAAATAAAATTTAATGTTAAAGGTCAGTATAATATTTCTGACTTTTAAAGAGTAGTAAATGATGCGCTAAAATCAATGGCTAAGGTAACAAACAGGGCAGACTTACTCATGCCAGAGCTTTGGCCACAGACTGTCAGAATAGGGAATGATGTTCCTTGGGGGGTGAATCAAAATTTCCATTTCACCCAGATTTTGAAAAGTTCTGATAAACACCCACCCAGATCCACCCCTACCTTGTTTCTACCTCAGCTGAGAAATATGTTTAACCTTCATTATCCTTTATGTGTTTGGGGGTATAAGAAAAAAGTTGAAAACAACTTTGACGAAAGTCAAAGACTTCGAAAGAGGTAGAAATATAGATTCCAAATACTTTTGTATTTTTCAGGCATGCAGTTTTTCTTTTCTTTTAAATTACAGTTAAAATATCTATGGCATGGCTACACTTTTCTATTATTTTATAATTTAATCAGTCTAGCACAGTTATGCTTACCCAAAGAATTTACTGTAAAGTAAAAAAATCATACTTTTAAATAAAAAGTCCACAGATAAGCAAATGTGAAGGTGAATTTATTAAGCTTTCAAACATTTGAAAAGACACAAAGACGATAAAAAATTTAGAGGGTAAGAAAAATATCAAACAGATAAATAATGAAAGTGGGTTTTTTTAATTAGGTGTGTGTTTCTAAACATGGGGTGTCTGTGCTACCAAATTCCAGACTTCAACATTAATTTAAACTACTTGTTTTACAAAATTAAATAACTCTGTCCCGATTTTGTGGTTCAAAATCCAGATTGAATGTCTTTCCTCCCCATGGATTCAATTCTGATCCTCTTTTATCTGAATTTTACCTACAACCTTTCATTTTTTCCTGGAACACATCAGAATGTTTCAGAATTAGACATTACGCAAGTGAAATGGATACATTTCTAAATTTGCTTATCCTGTTTAGTTTTAACAAATACAAACTTGTTCCTCTACCCTAGGTCCCGGGAGCTAGAGAAAAAAATAAATATTTAAAGGCATTTAAAATATATATTAATGAAAGTGGTGCAACTATTTAAACTAATTATATGTGATATTTCAAAAGGATAATTCATTAGTCCAATCCTCTAAGTAATCCCAAAGTAACATGAATTCCTCTGTAGAATAAACGTCTATAGAGAGTAATCCATGGAAGACAGACAAGCCTCTTGTCGTTTGTAGCCTTAATCCATTGCCTAGAGCATGAAAAGTGCTCAGGATAACAAGTGTGGGAATCAGTAAAATCAACATTATTTTTGGATTTTATTTTCTTAACAATACTGACTGATCAATAGGCTTGCCGAAACTGACAAATACAATACGGTCAGTTTGATGAATCAATCTAGTGAAGTAGAGGGAATCCCTCCACCCCATCCCCCACTCTCCCTCCTTTAAATCCTCTTCCTCCTACACACACACACACACACACACACACACCACACGAAGAGAGACAGAGACAGTGACAGAGAGATGGACGGACAGAGAGAGGGAGGGGTGAGGGAGATGCTTTTTCCTTAGTGGTCTGTAGACATTAAGTCATGAAAGCTGTAGTGGCGATGCTTAGATCTTTTTCCATCAGAATACTAAGCCACTTTCAGTAAGTGTTTACGTTTGTAATTGGGAGACTCACCCTCTTGTTTCAGTTGAGAAATTTCCATACTATTGAAGTAGGGGTCTCTCTTCTGTATTTCAATTGTGTGTGTTGTATGGGGGGCGGGGAGGGCAGAGAGAGTTGAGGAGTAAAGAGGGAAAAGTTCTGTCCTATTAACTTCTGTATATCCCAACCCCCCAAATCCTATAAGGTTATCAGCTTTGGGGAAAGTCAAAAGAAAAATAGAAGAGGAAATTGAAACACCTCAGACAAAATGTGTATTTAGGAAAGAACTAATAGTGTCTTGTATGACTGCCTGAACACACACATTCATGTGCACAGAAAATTTAGTAACCCTTCACCAGGTCATGAAGACACAGAGATAATTCTCTTTACGTTGGTCCTTGACACTCAGCAGGGACTTTTGTGAACTTTGTCATCTTCCTCTGCCCTTTAAACCAAAACTAGGGAAGTGGCTTTAATTAATGAGATGTGTGATGCATTACAAATGTTAGCCAGGGCATTCCAGAAGCTGGAAAACCATAGATGTTTTTAAATTCTGAGTATCCCTTTGAGTTGTAATTTATAATTCTCAGTGGACCTATATTTGTCTTGAACTGATTGTTGAAATGGGCTTTACTAGGAATTTCTTCACTGAAATTGCAGTGGGGCGGGGGAAGGGGTAGTTGAGCCAAGGGGGTTTGTTGGGAAGAGGGAATGATCTCTAACAAGGCTTTAAAACCTTCAGTGGTTAAAGTTATAGTGGTGAAAAAGATACACATATAGACACATATGCATATGTATATAGATACACATACATACACACATATAACACACAAGTTCAAAGGAACTATATCATGAGTGTTAGTTGTAAATTTTGTAGGTAGCAGAATTCAGATTTTTTTAATCAAAATTGCACCTAAAAATGGCTATAAAACAACGCGTGCCTTGGGAAGTAAATTTATAGCTCCATGCCTTTCAGAGAGGCACGCTGGAGGGTTCTGCTCCCGGCTCTAATCTCTATGAGATGTTTTTTGCATGTGTTGTGTGACAGGAGGGAAGGGGAGTGGGTTGAGCTCGCCTGTTCTCCCATTGTCAGCCAGTCTAGTGAGTGTTGGGAAAACCTGTCTGTGAGATCTTGTGTCATCTCTCCCTACATGTGTACAGGAAAAGTCCGCGCTGCTCACGGTTCCTCTCTCTCTCTCTCTCTTTCTCTCTCTCTCTCTCTCTTTCTCTGTTTCCCTTTCATTCTGCTTCCCCGGAGCCGAATGAAGCAGAGAGCAGGATTAGAGTCCGCCACCGGCTATCAGAAGAGCCTAGATAAAAGGAACTGCTTCTTAAGCACCACTGCCGCAGCCCTTGTTAATTTTTTTTTTTTTTTTCTTTCCACACCAGTTGTGCCTCATTATCCGGTGCCTGGCTCGATTTTTTTTTTTTTTTTTTGAGGGTTTGAAGTTTCTGTGCTTCAGTGACTATTACAGAAGAAGAGGTGTTAGTGTTGCCGTGAGGTCTTGATTGTCTGCATTTATGAATGAAACTGACCTAAATCACCTGTTACCTCCAGTTTCCAGATTGTTTGAACTTCTCTGGCCGCACAATACAGGAGGGAAGGCTGAAGCAGCATAAGGACCTACAGCGTCTGCAGCATGGGCTGGTTCGCTAGGATTGTCTGTCTTTTCTGGGGAGTATTACTTACAGCGAGAGCGAACTATCAAAATGGGAAGAACAATGTACCAAGGCTGAAATTATCCTACAAAGGTAAATCTTTATTTTTCTTTTATTTCGGCCAGCTTTGTAATGACCCCTGCCCCCCCCACCCTGCCCCAACCTTTTCATTCCTTGAACTCCCTCCCAACCCAAACCGTAAAACCTTGAGTTTAACCTGGGAAACATGTGATTGTGTGTATCTTTCTGAGATGATTTAAACACTTTTTTATAAAAGCATGTCTCCTGTTTGATATATGACAATTTAAATGCAAACAAAGAACATTTAATCACATTTGCAGAGAAGAGCTGAATGCCTGGTAAATGCTGAGCTGTATATGTGATCATATGTTCTGTTAATTTTTCTGACTCTACTTCTATTAAAATATCTTTAAAAAATTGCTATTGCAAAAATAGTCTCTTTGTAGATGTGAATGCTTCACCTATAGTAATTGTTACGATAAATTGTATTTTCTTAGTTTTAGGCACTAAATGGTTAATCGTCGTCATGAATATTCAGTTTGTTCAAATCTGACAATCAGATGCTTAACATAAGCAGTAGATCATGGTTTGCCAAGAGAATATAAACTGGAGGGAACAGACTAGTTTTTCCACAGTGTGTTATGATTGTACAAAAGACTGTGTATTTGGCTAATTGGTGTAAAGCTAAAGCCTTTGAAATATAAAGTTATTTAATTCCATATGTACTTTAGTGAGAACTGGAGAGACATTACTTTCTGGTTGTACAGCTTAGTTATGTGAACTTCTTTTCAAAAAGAGTATAAATTTAAGAAAGGAGAAAAGCTTTATCACATGGTTGCTAGTACTTTATTTGGTCACAGTTTAATGCATATGCTTGGTTTTTAATGAGGACTTCAAAGAAAATATTTGTTCTATATTTGTTTAGACAGATTTTATAGATAGATGTATCAAATAATGCTAACATAGATTGAAAATTATATATATATAAAACTTTTAATGAAAGACAGTGTTTATATAACTGAGCTATTAGTAAAAATGGAGTTGGAGATTAAAATGCTTTAACTCAAGTACTTTTACTCCCTAAGGTGTTGCTTTCTTATGATTCTCAGATTTCGGGAATTGGGGGTGGGGCAGTGGGAAGCTTCAATTGTATTCTGTTTTCAGCCTATAATGTGAAAGAAAGTCATTAAATCTGTCTGTAGAGATGTCTGTCTACTGCACACTGCTTTTATGCCAGAAACATATTCTTTAATTTTCACATGATGGGGAACATCTCTTTCTGAATGCTCTAGTGTGAATGAGGACCACAAATAGAAAAGAGAGATGTAATTTTCACACTTTGGATTCGAAAATTCAACACCTATTAAATGTGTTTATTTGGAATTAATACTTGCTAGATAAAATACATTGGGTTGAAAGATACATTTATTTTTCCTATAATAGTTTCCTAGTGATTAAAGTGGAAATGGATTTAAAACATTAGCAAACAGAGTTGCAATTGTACTTATCATACAAGATTTTAAAAAATTATATAGCCTCTATTAAATATTTAATTAAATATTATATCTCTAGTAACTGTCTTTAAATTATTTTTATAGTATATGATATCATGGCATCTGTATTTTCCTCAGTTTTTGCTTTCCATTTTCATTCTTGAGGAGAATGCCATCAAATAATACTTAGGTTGATGGTCGATTTTATCCAAGTTTATATGCCTTATGAGTAAGTTTCACATGCAACTTTACTTCTTGAAGATGAGAATGGCTGTATGTTATAATTTTAGAGTAACAAATTTGAAGCATGAAACATGCTTTAAAAATCTACTAGATTTGGGGACACTTGTTTAAATGCTAAATAAATTGTAAAATAAATAAGAATTGAGAATTATATTTATTTTGCAAGAATTTTATTTCCATGGTAATAGATTACTCTTCATTATAGAAGAGGTGCCATTCCTTTCTATATACTAAACAGATAGCATTTAATTAGAATAGTCCTTTGATATGTGTACAGGGTTTAAACTTGTCTTGTGTATATTGACAATATGTATATATTGGACACTGTCTTTATCAACTCCTTTTAGCAATGGCATCCATTAGAATTATTCTTTTTTTTTTTTAATCACAAACTGCCCCACACCTACATAACAATTCTATTGAAATACCTAGGGCTTGGCAATTTGGTAAAATAAACTGTGAAATGAACAAGAAGAAGAAGAAGAAAAGGAATGGCCCAAGCAATTTTTCTTCTGTCATTTTATTGGTCTGTCATTACCTTTTTGTCTCTACATGTTTTGCCAAAGCAAATGCCTGGTAGCCAATTGTCAGTACTTTGTTTCTAAACTATAATAGAGATTTTTTTTTAAGCTACTTCTTTTTCCTCCTTAATTAGATGTCAAACACGGTTAAAACATCCACTGCTTTGCCCTTAAAAATATTCCAGCATGATTCATGAAGAGTTAAATCCCTGCCAACCCTAATTTCCCATGGTCACTTGTTTTCAAAGATCCACCATTAACTCTCTCATTGCTCAGGTTGCTAAGACAAAGTTTCAGGCAATCACTGTGCTTAGTTTCTACTTGTCATCTTGCCTAGTAGGAAACGAAAGAGATTTGATATGTTAAATGAGAAAGAAAAAGAAGGGAGCCTTTGTAGTGGATGTACATATATATCTAATAAGGTACCTCTTTACTTTCTAGGAAAAAGGGATTGAATAGATGTGTTCAGGACCATCTGGAGAAGTGATAATATTAGAAAAATGGGGTATGCTGGCTTTTCCTCTGAACCAATCTGATTTAGAATCCTTGTGGGGGAAGCAAATGTGAGAACTCTGTAAATCTCAGCAGTCACATACAAATTATCCTCAAGAAACATTCTCTCAGAGATACTTTTGCCTTCCTTAAGTATATGTAATAGAGCTAAATGTTAAAATGTCTCTTTTTAAAATTGATGCATAACTGTTTATTTCTCCTACAAAACTAGTCAGATTTCACTTTTCTCATGAAAAACCAGACTATCATATAATCTTCCTTTTGGAATGTGTGGTACAATGAAGACTTCAGAAAAACCTATGGAAATCACAAGGAAATAAATTAGGTTTGGGGTTTTAAACAAATGACAAATGTTCCATCACTCAGTGTAATGAGCTTTTCCAGGACACTGTGTGCTTCAGTTTTAGTAGAAATCAAAGACACATGCAAGTCTGAATGTGATGGTGATCATGTGAATCCAAAGGTTAAATCGATGTCTTTAACTTTACTTTCACAGGGAGGATTTAGTAAATAGCACTTAAATAAATGTTTTAAAGGCCTTCTTTTCATACTTTGTAAAGATTTTCTTTCCCCTCAGAGTCTAATTATTATAACAATGAGATTATCAGTTAAATCAAAATTCTCACACATATCTTTCTGAGAATAGAATATAATATTTAATTAAAAATTATGAAATAAAATTTACAAAAGCTTTTTTTTCCATTGCTCAGTACATTATGATCACTTCAAATTTCATTAATACGAATAATGATTTACTAATTAAACTTGGTGACTTTTCAGGATTTTTCTTTACTTCTACCAGAGCACACAGATACACACATACAATCTGGGTATATTTGAATGACAAAACTTTATGTTAATGTTTTATAGCTGAGAAAAAGTAATCTCGACAACCTACAGGTTGTGAAATTTATGGCCACTTTACAACAATTTTGTTACTGGTTTACAATAATTTTCATATTTTAAATTATTTATTTACTTATTTATTTTAGAGTGGGCATGATCTTTTGGGTCCCATGAAAAGTCCTCTTGGATATCTCAAGTATTCACATGCTTCTATAGGATGGAATATGTCTTATACTGATAATCTCCTCATAGCTAAAAGGAAAAGTGTCTATGAAAGGTAGAGGAATATATATATATATATATTCACACACACCCACACAGAGCAAAGAAGTTATAAATTCATTGCAATATCTTTTCTCCTATAGGCACTGCATGTTTGACATCAGGTCTCTGACTTACTGATCCTTATTTAACATGGCCTTTTCTTCTCAAATTCTGTTAACTTTAAAAATCATATTTTGATTCTGAAATCTTCAATTTAAGCACACTAGAAACTAGAAATTTTTATTCACCTACTCAACAAATATATTCTGGCAAAATAATGAAAAATAAAATAAAACAAGATGCTCAGTCACACGTCTTGTGATCCAATCCTGGTCAGATCAAATGTGGGCTAGTGAAAATCTCCAATTTGTGGCTTCTCTGATTAAAGCTGCCAACCAGATTGGCCTTTGAAATAATAATTTATACAGTGTAGACGTTAGCAAGCAGAAAAATAACTGAGACCACAAAACCATGCCATGTAAAATTCTAACCCACCAAATTTTGATAATGATATTCAGTCATTACTAGCTTAAAGAAACTTGAATACTGAAGAGATAATTTTTCCAATTCTAACTTTATGTTGTTATTTCTCTTCATATAAATTATTTCCAAGACTCCACTCTTGACAATGATATAAAATACATGAATATGTAGGCAAATAAATAGATGTATAGATCTGTCATAACTACTTTGTCCTTGTTTTCTTACTTTCAATTATCACATATAAATCAAACAACGTAATTAAAAAAATGTTACGATTTTTGCTGAATTACATTTAAATTCTATATTCTAAACATTAATGCAAATGAAAGATCTTTCAAGAATAAATTTAATTAAAATTAATTAATATGATCGCATATATATATTCCTAGTAAGGAAATAAAAGTAAACTTTTGGTTGCAGAGCATAATCTATTTATGCTTAGTGTGAATGTATAATTGTACTTTAGATATGTACTTTAAGTAACATAAAATCATCATGAACTTAAGTCGGCAATAAGAAATGTTGTGGCTTACCTTCCTATTCCAGTTTTTCCCATTTAAGCTTCAGTGACACACCTACATGTCACAGTCCAAAAGTCAAAATATCACACCTTTACATGTTTGGAAGAATTTTATATCTAAAGCCAGGACTATGCTAACTAGAATTTGTATTTCAATTGTTGTAAAACCTTCCAGAAACCAGTACTAAA